TGCTCCCTCCCCTTCCCTTCCTTCCCCTTCCTTTCTCTTCCCTTTTCCTCCTTTCTGATGCTTCCCGTCTCCCTGTTGATCTACTCCTGCTCCAGTCAAACAAATTTTTTTCCCCCCTGGTAACAAGCTAGCAGAGGGGAACTGTTTAGTTGTTAAGGATGGGCTCACATTAAATTGTGTTGTCTTCATGAGTTTCACCTCTAGGCTAAGAGTCATTTCAGATGCTGGTGTCCCAGCCTGAAGCCTGAATCCAGGGACTGCCAACTTTGACCTACAGTTTAGCAAAACCTGTCCTTACCCCAAACATTATTGTCAAAAAACACTGGTTCTTCCTCAGTCCCTAAGGTTCACATTCCTCTAGGTCATTGGACCAAGTCAGCTACAAACCAACACGTACCTTTGACCTCTAATAGTATTTTAGCTACGATGCCACCTCTGAGCAGCAGCCCTCGGTCAGAGTCATTGGGAACATGACCTGTACACAGAAGCCGGATGATGGCCCATTGGTTCGTTGACCACTGAGAAGTAAATGAGTAACAGCAACTAACAGGGCTGCCTCAACGATACCCTGTCCCTGTGGTCATCTCCACATGGCTCCCTAATCCCAGCAATTCGGACACTCAGGACACTGACCTTAGTTGCCTGTGTTGAGAACAAAGTAAGGGAAAGCAGATCTACAGCCCCAAGACCACAGTGCGTGAGGACAGGTGCAGTGCCCTATACACATCCTCTGATGGACTGGCCAGGGAAATTTTTCTTAAATTAAAATAAACATTAGCCACTTTGCTAGTAAAAATCTGGGCAGCAAGGACTGTGACCACGCACACACACACACGCAGAGTGGAGCAGGGTTAGGAACTCAGGCCTCAGAATCAGGCAGGCCCAGGTCCAGGCCCAGTTCCTCTATCATCAGAAGGTCACTGGGCAAATTACTTTTCATTTCTTAGCTTCCAGTTTCCTGCCTGTAAAATAGAGAAAATGGCTACCTTGGAGAGTACCTGATAAAATGCAGTGCCTAAGTGCCTTCTACACTGTGTCACAATGGCAGGATCAATGGCTTTCATTTTGTGAGGGGGCTGCTGTATTCACTGCTAGTATCTAGGCATCAGTTTTGCAACCTCAGCACTTCTGATATTTTGGCTGGGAATTATTTGTCCTACATATCGCAGGATGTTTAGCAGCACCATTGGCCTCTACTCATTAGAGGCCAGTATCACCCTCTCCCCAGTGAGGACATATTGAGGAGAGTTTATTTTTTTAATGGCCTTACCAGAAAATTTTGTTACTTATAAATATTACTCATATTCTACTGCTGAAAGCATTACTTTTTAGGGTTAAAAAAAGCCTTTCTGTCATCAGGAGGACAGGAGGCAGTGAACAAAACCAAATTAACAAATGACACCATTTTTTAATTAATGACTAAATTAGCACATACAGCATTTGTGAGGCCTAAGTTCTGGCTGAGCCTGTTGAGTCTGGGCCACTATAGACTCCTCTGGGGTGCCCTGCAGTTGGGCAGCCTGTTGACTATGAAAATCAGAATATGCTCCTAGAAAACCCATGGCCCTTGGGATTTCCAGGTGACCACATCAGGTAGGAATGATAGTAATGGCTATGATTCGTCCAGTGCTCACCATGTCTTAAGCCCTCTGTTAGGCTCTGTAAATATTTATCTCATTTAACCTTACAATAAAATTATCTCCATTTTATAAATAAGGAAACAATTTCAGAAATGCAAGTTAAATGGCTCAAGATATAGGCAGTGCTGCTTCTGGAACTCATACCTAGGCCACCCTATTCCGCCTTCATGGTTTAATCCTCTGCTCCAAAAGAAAGAAGTTTCCACTCTAACCCCAGAATTCTGGTGATAATTGGATTAGTCTTTGAGCCCTCTCAGTTATCAGGGCAAAATCCTCCACCTCCTCATCATCACACTTCCAATTAGAGAACTTCAAACAATTTTGAAAAGTGTTCAAGTGAAATTTATCTCATTTAATTATTAAACTACTTCTGTGAACCAAGTAGGTTAGGTATCATATATAAGGTCATTTGCCAGCGAATGGCTAGAACTAAAACTTCAATCTCTAAACTCTTAAACTGTCAAATGAGGAGGAACTGCGAAGAGATGGGCACATCATCAGTCAATAGGAGGAATGAAAATACTCTGTCAAAATTCTTTACCGTACCACAAAGATTCAAAAGGAACAAGTAAAGGAGAACTAATTTTGCTTTTCATCTGCCCTGTAAAATGCTCAAGAGTAACCACCTGATTTCAGCTACAGGAAAATATTGCAACTTGATGCTGTCTTTACTCACTTCTGCTTCTTTTAACTTTCTCTTTCTGGCTTTCTTTTCCTAGTAAAAAATCTGAAATAAGATCCTTTGATTTCACTTCTTTTTGTCATTTTTCTCTGCCCTTTAAAAATAAATGACACAATTAAAAAAAAGAAAACATAATGTCTCATTAAAAAAAGAAATAACATAAAAAAATAATGTCTCAATGTCATTATGAGGTATACTTTTTTAAAGAAACATACAGTTCTTTCTATACCACTTGATTTTATTTCCACGTAACTCCACGAAGTTCTTTGTTTTAGAAAGCAATACTAAAATTAGTCAACACTGATAGTAATTTGTAGAATCTTTACTTACTTTTAATTTGTTGTTATCATGGATTAAATTGAATTAACAAAGTTATTTATTTACATTAAGTAGAGAGCACTTAGCAATAGCTTTCTAAAATATTCCTTCTTTGAGGTTTTCTTGCGCAAGCTTTCTTAATACGGACAGCATTCTAGACATGTAAGGCTCTTGAACATTTAACTATTGCAAACCTGGTTAACTTACACTGAATTGATTTTTATGTTGACCTTTTCATTGAAGTAAGAAATTATGGTTGTTTTTTTTTGAACCCAAGTGATCTTTCACAGATTTCTGCTGTACTTTTATTTAATAAAAACAAATGTTTGGGCCTAATGACACAAACTAAATAATGACTAATGAGTTACATTTTTGTGAAAAAAAATGTTTAAATTAGGTACCCAGCAATCTAAAGGAAATTTTAAGATGGAGCCAAAGGGACTCTTCATGGAATATGCTTACATTAGGTAACAAACACCACTTTGAAGGCCTGATCAAAATAACAGTAATAATGATTAGAATGCTGCTTATGGTATAGTTGAAATACTGTTCCTTACTATGGAACGTTAAGTTCCCTCGCTCAATGGGATAGAGAAGCTCCTTCACCAACACATTTCCCTTGAACCCTGCTTCCTGAAGGAGAGAGGTGGCTCGTTGCTCCCAGAGTGCCCTTTGTGGAGGGGACAATGAGGCGTGGAGAAGTGTGTGCTTCCTCTGCACATCCACTCGGCCTCCTTGCAGAGGTGTGTCAGTGGCTCTCAGTGCAGGGAAGACCTGGTGGAGTTGTGGTCGGGATTTTTTTGTCCTAAGGATAATAGGATCTCTGATTTTCTTTGCCTCTTTTCAAAACTTTTAAATTATAATTCACCATAATATCCATAATTATTAATTAATTATTCCCAGTCCCTCCTATGTTTATTACTTTGCCAATATGCCTCCTGGAAGTATTGGCAAGTTAAGAATTATTGTCAAAGCCATGGTTACTTTACCTATGGTCGCTAAATAAAAATTGCTAACTGGAAGAGATTATATGTTGTATTATAGTTAGAAGAGATTATAGTTAGAAGGCTTCAAAGGAAGCTTAGAATATAGAGAGAATGCTACAGATGGATGCAGAAAGTGTGTTCAAATATTAAGTATTTTTATAATTGCAGTTATCTTTGAGCAGAAGAAAAAAAAACTGAGCTTTTAAAAATGGTACCTTAAGACGGTGAAATTTGTTATAAGAGTTTTAAGACCAACTTCCATATATGTGATAATGTATGCGATAATTCTTTCTTGTATTTAAACATTGAGGGTTGTTCTAAAAATTGGAAATAGTTTTCAAATCTCAAAAACACAATGCAAAGATGACATAACATTTCAATCATTTTATGCCGCATCTAGCCAAGAGTATTTTTAGAGCACCTAATATATGCCCAAGGACACTAGAGTAAATAAAGAGCAATCCTTCCCCTTGAGCAAATAGTGTAGTGGGACATTTCAGAACTATTTGTACAACTCTAAATTGATTCTTAATTAAAAAATGTGTTTGATTTAAACATTTTCCCTAGCTGCTAAAAGTCAGCCTGTTGAGAGAAGGTATCACAACACCATGTGAATCAAAAAGTCTTAAACAAGGGCTGCCAGGATTATGTGGCAACAAAACTAGTAAACTGACTTTCTCCCTTAAAACAAATTCAAGTGAAAACAGGCTTTGAGTGGGACCTTGACCCAACTTATTTCAGGTAAAATGCCAGCCACTGGGTCATAAAAAGGAGAGTAAAATCTGAAGCGGGTTTATTGCTGTCACCCCAGGAACCCAGGAATCAAATGTGTCCTCTAGGAATGTCCCTGTGACCTTCCGATCTAGCAGGCATTCTCACCCAGTTTAGTGTGCATGTGTGCATTGGCCTAACCTGACGTCTGATAACGTTGCTAAAGCAGGTAGATCCAGATCAGCCCCGCAGCTAGAGGCGAACCTGTTGTTCCACTAAGAAACCCAGCTGAGAGGCCTCCTCTTCTTGGAGCCTGTCTCACTCCGGTTTCCAATGATCAATGATTCTAAGATTCACAGATGGTGTTGAATAGTCACAGAGAGAATAACTAGACAAATTCAATTGTAACCCTAGGGTGCTAAAGAATATTCAGAAACAGACCTGGGGAGCTCAAGGCAAAGGCCCCGGTGACCCTGAGACCGCTCCTCTCCTGAGATGGACCCCTTGCCCATCACTGCCTTCTAACATGCTCCTTTTTTTCCCATAGCCGCAGCTGACCACAGCATGAAAGACAACTTGATTAATTCTGTAAATGTGAAGAAAATCAAAGACCGTTCGGAGATTGACAAGAGCAACAAAGAAATAAATGACAAACCCAGGCACCTGTTATCTTTTCCAAGGTGAATTGGGGTGTAGACGCTGTTGCAGACTCGCTGGGCTGATTGCAATCTGTCCTCTGTGCTGGGCAAGGGAGCTGCCACTCTGACCTTGCTGATCCTCTCAGGATGGAAGTACCCGGGCTTCTGGAGAGCTCTGAGTATCTTTTTATAAGGAAGCCTCATGTTCCCTCCTCACTCTGTGAGTCATCCTTGTTGTAACACAGGGCGGTGACCACATCTTTCTTTGGTGAATGAAGGAAACCAAGAAGCTGTGGGTCATGTGTTTCCAAAGAGCAGTATCTTCAGTAAATTAAATTCAGTAACTTTCAGAAGGGACTTAAAAATGGTCAATAACATCCATGTAACTGTGAGTACAATCTCTTGACCAAATTCAGCAGCTGAAATGCTATAGGATGGAAGCATTTTGTAAACTCTCTGGCACCAGGGTTAAATTGTGATTATTGTTCATGATCTCTAGGTTGTTTTTTTTTTCTTTCTTCCTGTTAATGTACATTACTGATTTAGTACTCCTTCAGTCCTAAAAGAGTTGGTAGGGGAAATGAGTCTCTGACGATTATTTGGACCACTTTTTAAAAAACATTGGTGAGCAAGAAGACCAAACCAATTTAAGAAACAAGGTTTTGGACTTATTTATGAGTGTTCCAAAGTATGACAGGAAGATCTTACAGAAGTGGTTACTGGAACTGAGATCATTGAGAACAGGAAAAGGTGGCCCCTCCCTTCCCAGAGTTGGTCTGTTTATGAGTTTATCACAATTGACCTGGCATATCCTGGGATAGTGATGGAAAGCACTGAGGCTGCAGGTGATGAGGGGGAAGACACAGTGCTAATAGGCACCACCTCCTCCAACTACCACTTCCCACGTGGGCACAAAGGCTGACAGATAGGTACAAACTCCACTGTCTGCCTGTTTAGTTTCAGTTTTCTTATATACTAATTTATTGCTGTATATCTCAGATTTCCCAGGCTTCTTCTGTGTTCCTTCTTTTAAAAATGCAGTTTTTTATAGTTTAGTTGGGGTGAGTGGATGAATAAACATACCTGTCCAGGTTGAGTCTAGATACTGCTAACACCCTGTAAATTAAATGGGGATTTTTTTTTTCTTCAAAAGAACAAAACAAAACTGAATTTTTTTTCAGGGAAAGATTTAGGGCACCAAACATGTGCCAAATATACTATTTCCTCTTTAACATCCCACAAGTTACAGTAAGGCTTAAAGAGAAAACCTCTTAGAGAAATAATACATTGACTAAAATCCACATGAAGAAAGGCATAAATGATTAACAGTGGACCCTTTTTGTGAGCAAGTTATTGTCACTGAGATGTGGAGAGAGTTTCAGGCTCCTGGTTGGTCATGGAACGGAGAAGGGGAAAGGGCAAATAAAAGGCTATAACATTAGTAAGTTTTGTTGATCAATATTCTCATCTAGTGCAGCCCTGTTTCAAAAACTTCCCAATATGGATGAAAAAGGGGCCACATACTAAACCTGATGAGCTCAGGGGAGGCCAGCATGGTGGTGGGCCATGCACATTCAGAGACCAAAAGTAACCACATAGGGTCATCTGAATATAAAAATTCCTACCTACAAGCAGGTCATGGTATGTGGTCACATCCTGGGCCTAATGTTTGCTTAACAAAGGCCTGTCTCTATCTTGAGTGAGCCTGTCTATTGTCCTTTTGCATCTAAAATAACATAACTTGGAAATGTCAGAGTGATTGCCTTTTCCAGTCCCCTGAGGACACAACTGTCCCCCAAGCTCACCAGACCACAGAACCTCTTACTGTTACTTTGGTCCCCGAACACCATCTCTGTGAGCTGTAAATGCTAATTGACTATCTGGTACTGACCAATGTAAAAGAAGTATGTGTCTCTTTGTTTAATTTTTTTTATCCAACCCCAGAGATTTCCCCCCATTTTGTTCTTCCTGTCCCCTTAATCTACCACCATGGGATTTCATGTAACCTCCTCACACTTCCTCTTTTGATTCTAACATATAAAATAATCTGCAAAACTGCTATTTTCTGGAGCATTTTCTCAATCCTTTTGATTTTGCTTCCCAGCAATTATCATCATTTTGACTTAAATAAACTCATAAAAATTCTGTACAGGTTTTCCCCTGGTGTCTGCGGCTCAGTTGGTTGAGAGTTATCCCATAACCAAAAGGTTGCGGGTTTGATTCCTAGTCATGGCACAGAGCTAGGGTGCAATTTAGGTCCCAGGTCTGGGAGAGTAGAGAAGGCAACCAATCAATGCTTCCCTCTAGAATCATTGTTTCTCTCCCTTCCTCTCTAAGAGTAGTAAATGTTCTTGGGTGAGGATTAAAAAAAAATTCTATATAGGCTTCGACATTTCTTACATCAACACCAAATAGACTAAAAAAACCCAAAAAACAAACAGATGTTTTGACTGATTTGTATATTGAGAACTAGAATTTCAGCAATGTCTAGATCTCTCAGGTCCAGTGGAACCAATTTTTAAGAGTTCAGTTTCAGTTTGAACATTTGCTCCCCTTGTCAAATGGTCCCATTTAGGTGTTCAGTTAATGGAATCATTTGTCAGCAGCACTTTATCCAGACTGTAATCATATCTGCATTCAAATTCACATCTTAAGTGCTAAATTTTCTTTCATTCCATCCCTTCATAAGGCAACCTGTGAAAGTGCTACTTTGTTCAGAACTCTCCTTGCATTAGACTTCTGGTCATCTAAGGTGATGTAAAGCATCCAGAAACCAAATTGCCATTCTATTTTTTAAATTCCTTTTTAAAACAGAAGATTGCACCATGGATTTCATTCAAATGTAAATGTCAACATTGACAATTGAACTGTAATTACATAGGGGTAAGGCTAGATACTGCCACAGACAAAGCGCTAAGCATATGACTCTCCTTTGTCTTCTAAATTCATAGGTCCCCATGCTTCCCTCCAATTTCTGCACAAGGGTCCTTCTCTACCCTTTTCCAGACACAAGAAGGATATACCGCTTCATGGCTGTCTCAGATGACATACGTCAGGCTTCTTAGTAACAGCGCAGTGCAGGAGGAGGGCCAAGTTACAGACAGTCCTGAAATGGGAGTCAAATGGAGAAAAGCACCTCGCGCACTGGAGGCTGTGCTGGCGGCTCTGACTTCTGGAGCGAGCTGCTGTCACTCTTGCAACGGTGGTCAGGGGGAGGGGACGGGCAAAGTTGTTGATGGTATGTGTGCATGCCGACGTCCTCCTTCCTGACCTCTCTCCAAGGTCACCCTCAGCGTGAAGTAGGGTGCAAAGCAGAAGGATCCTGATACACAGCATTGTTCCTTACAGCCCATGGTTGAGGGGAGGGAAGAAGTAGATGATATGGCTTAAGAAATTTTTTATAACGATGGCAAGGTGAGAGCTATGTCCTTCCTGAAGGGAAGCTGTGCTGCCACCTGGGTAAAGGTATACGCGACCTTCAGGACTTATAGTACTGAATATGAGGTCATGTAAGAAGCCCTGGGTCAGCATTTGAAGTTGAGGAACCCAGCCATGATGGGGTGGCTATGCAGTTTGAAAGGGTGTAGCAGGGCCCCCACCAGCCCACCATGAGGTTTGGTGAGTAAGGAGGTGCCACATGGTTTTGAATTAGAAGCTGGAGTGAAAAAGACAGGACCCAATGGGCAGCCTTCCTGGAGAGCCTGGCGGCATGACCGATGAGGCTGGAATTGCGGGGCCCTGCCCAGCCCACACGGATTAACGGGAGATGCCTGGGATGCTGAGCTGTGACAGGGGTGCCGAGTCACGGACTTCTGTCTTCCTGGGAGATGGTACTTCTGACGGGCGTATTCTGGAACCAGCTGGGTTTGGCAAAGGAAGGCGGGATGGTGTGTTTTGGGTGTTTTTGAAGGGAGTGGGACTTAACGGCAGAAGTCTGCCGTTATTCTAAATCTGTATAACATTTAAATAAACAATTCTTTTCCTTTTCACCAAACTCTTACACTGGAAGTCATGCTTCCTGGCAGCAGGCAAATGGACGCCACAGCTCTTCCAGAACAGCATAAGCTGGGCTTCTGTAACAGCCTGGCACCCAGCGTGGGCCTTGATAATTACTCATGGCATGTCAGCCCCCTCAGGAATGGGCTAGTGAGACTGGAATATCATGGTTTCTGGAATTTCTCTGTACACCTTTTGAGGGCATCAGCCACCTAAACACACCTAGAAGGCGAAAAGGAAATGAATTTGGGAAGGGATCGGGGAAGTGAGATTGTTTGGCTGAAAATTTACTTGTGAACACCATTTGGAAAATGGAGTTGTGGACAACAGTTTCGTTTATATGCTGCTTCTAGGTTGCCTGTACTTCTCTGCTTATAGCCTTTTGCATGTACGGCCAGTACAATCAGGGCAGTTCTGGGCTGGCCACTAGGAGGAGCCCACTGAGTAGAATTTTGGAAGACTGGAATGTATACGGCTGTTACCCTCTGTCTAAGGAGATAGCGATTTATTATTGTAACAGTGTTCAGCCTACATATGTTCTGGATTGTAAAGAAAGGTAACCTGTGGATGGTTCCCTGAGTTACTGTATCATTAAGCAGTTGGAACAATATTGCCAAAGGTTGGGCAAATGGGAGGAGATCTGTTATGTCAATACATTCATATCATTGTATAGTAGGTTTTGTCGGGATCAGAGAATCATTTGATGGTACAAAGAAGGGAGGTGGCCTCAAAACCGCTTTCTGATAGTAAGACACAAGAAAAAAGAGAGAATGGGGAGATAAACCTCATTAATGCTCTGAACCCAGGGGACAGAGGCAAGGAAGTAGGAGGGGCTTCAGTGCCACCTACCCCTTCACAGGTCGGAGGTAGGAGGGGCTTCCTTGCCGCCGCTCCTTTCACAAACTGCCCCTGAAGTAGAGAAAATAAAGCCAACAACTCCATCCATGTACGATGAGGAATGGGTTTCCCCACAAAGACTCATCAGAGCATCCAACATGGCCAAGCGATCTCTCAATTTAGAGCAAGCCAATGCCCTTTGAGGCAATATCCTGTAGGCAGATAAATTAGGAAGTCCAGCCTGCTGGCTACTATTGAGCCCATACCGCATTCTCCACTTCAGACTTACTGCATTGGAAGAATTCCAACCCCTCATAAAGGGGCGATCCTCAAAAAATG